ACCCAGGTCTCTCGCTTGCAAGGCGAGTGCTCTAACCACTCAGCAACAGAAAGTCTTCTTAAGTGAAAGGCACTTCACAGGCGTTAATGTAGTATATTGACTGTATTTTGTAGGTGAATGAAGCAGCCAATTTCCACATAGCAAAGTCCCACAAACAGCCGTGAAATAAATGACAGGTGGTCTCTCTCCCACCTCCCCTTGACAGTCTCCACCTCTACCCCATTGACTCATCTCTCCCCTTACCCCCTCTCTCCCTCCTCCCCTTGCCCCATCTCCACCTATATCCCATTACCTTTCATTTCTCTCCTCCATACCACTTCTATCCCCTTTGTCTCCCTCGCCCTTTTCTGTCTTCCATCCCTTCTATTTTCCCAATTCACCTAGTTGCTTGCCCTCATACCACTCTCTCCCCTAGCCCCCCCCTCTTCTCTCTCTCCACATAGCCCCATTGACTCTCATCTCTCCCCCCCATGTCTCCCCGTTTCCCCTCTGTCTCCCCCATGCCCCCCACTGTCTCCCCCATGTCCCTCACTGTCTCCTCCATGCCCCCTCTGTCTCCCCCACGGCCCTCTGTCTGCCCCATTCCCTATCACCCCCATACCTTCCTCTATTTCCCCCATACCCCCTCTATCTCCCCCATACCCATCTATCTATCTCATACTCTTCTCTATCTCCCCCATACCCCTCTATCTCCCCCATACCCCTCTATCTCCCCTATACCTCCCCATTACTCTGTCTATCCTGATTGGCTCGCGTCAGCGCCTCCACACCTCAGGCGCTGACAGCATCAGCGCCTCCACACCTCAGGCGCTGACAGCATCAGCATCCAAGGCTGCACTCTCCACCTCTCAAAGCCATCAGGAACCTCGGGGTTCTGTTCGACCGTGAGCTGTCCTTTCTCCCTCATATCCGCTCCACAACTGGCACCGCCTTCCATCACCTCCGGAATATCTCCAGACTACGGCACTACCTCACCCCTCACGCTGCTGAAACTCTGGTCCACGCCTTTATCACCTCAAGGCTGGACTATGGGAACTCTCTCCTCGCGGCCTTCCCGGCACCTCCCTCCACAAGCTGCAGGTCATTCAGAACTCTGCAGCTCGTGTACTGTCCCGCACCAGGCTTCGGACCACATCACTCCCACCCTCGCTCGCCTCCACTGGCACCCCATCCCCCCGAGGATCGAATTCAAGATCCTCATCCTCACCTACAAGGCCATTCACAGCCTTGCTCCCTCCTACCTCTCCGACCTACTATCCCCCTACCCACCTGCCCGTACCCTCCGTTCCTCTGGCTCCGGTCTGCTCCACATCCCCCGCCCCAACCGCCCTACCATCGGTGGCCGGGCTTTCAGCCTCTCAGCCCCGAGGCTCTGGAACTCCATTCCCCAGTGCCTTCGCCGCTTCCTCCCTTTCCTCCTTCAAGGCGGGTCTCAAGACCTTTCTCTTTGACTGTGCCTTCAGCTCCCCTCTCGACTCTCTACCCCCTCCTCGCTCCCTCCCTTCCCTCCCCTCACCCTGACCATTTCCCCCCGCTCGGCTTTGGGATGTCCTCCCGACGTGAAAGGCACTCTATAAATGGTATCTTGTTGTTGTTGTTGTATCTCCCCCACAACCCCCTTTATCTCCCCAATATTCTATCTCCCCCATACCCTCTGTCTCCCCCATACTCTATCTACACCAGAATTTGTTCTCTCAACCATTTTTCTGTACCCACAAACTCTCTGCTCCCCACTTTTCTCCCTCTCAGCTCTTTTTCCCCCCTCTCTTTTCTCTCTGTCTACCCCTCTCTTTCCATCAGTTTCCCTCACTCTTTCCATCTGTTTATTTCTGTTTCTCTGAGTACGCACTCTGTGTTTCTCCCTACCACTCTCTCTCTCTGTTTCTCTCGCTCATTCTCTGCTTCTCTCTATCACATGGGTTCAATTCCCGGCGGGGCAAAACCTTGGGCAAGTTTCCTTACTCCACACGCCTAATAATAATCCCTCCAAAACAATACAATAATTGGTCATTTCAATCCACGACTGCTGTCGCATTTTGCCCACAAATATACAGTCAATTCACTTTACAGTATATTCTGTGAAGCGCTTTGAGACGTTTAGAAGACGTGAAAAGCACTATATCAAATGCAAGGATTATTATTATTATATTATTATCACTCTCTCTGTTTCTCTCGCTCACTCACTCTTTGTGTTTCTCTCTCTTTCTGTGTTTCTCTCTCTCTCTGTTTCTCTATCACTCTCTCTCGCTGTGTGTCTCCCACTCTCTCTGTTTCTCTATCTTTCTCTGTGTCTCTCACTCTCTGTTTCTCTCTCTCTCTCGATCTGTCTTTCTCTGTGTGTTTCTCTATCACTCTGTTTTTCTCTCTCTCTCTATCTGTTTCTCTGTCACTCTGTCTCTCACTGTTTTTCTCTCTCTATATCTGTTTCTCTATCACTCTCTCTGTGTCTCTCACTCTCTCTGCTTTTTTTTTCTCTCTCTCTCCCTATCACTCTCTCTCTGTATCTCTCTATCACTCCCTCTGTGTTTCCGTCTTTCTCTGTCTGTGTGTCTCTCACGCTCTCTGCTTTTCTCTATCATTCTTTCTGTATCTCTCTCTCTCTCTCTCCCTGTGTTTCCCTCTCTCTCTCTGTGTGTCTCTCACTCTCTCTGCTTTTCTCTCTCTATCTCTCTCTCTCTTCCTCTGTGTTTCCGTCTCTCTCTCACTCTCTCTCTATCACTCTCTCTGCATCTCTCCCTCTGTGTTTCCCTCTCTCTCTGTGTCTCTCACTCTCTCTGCTTTTCTCTATCACTCTCTCTGTATCTCTCCCTCTGTGTTTCCGTCTCTCTCTCTCTCTGTGTGTCTCTCACTCTCTCTATCACTCTCTCTATCTCTCCCTCTGTGTTTCCCTCTCTCTCTTTGTGTGTCTCTCACTCTCTCTGCTTTTCTCTCTCTATCACTCTCTCTCTCTCTCCCTGTGTTTCCTTCTCTCTCTCCCTCTCTCTGTGTCTCTCACTCTCTGCTTTTCTCTCTCTATCACTCTCTCTCTCTCTCTCCCTCTGTGTTTCCTTCTCTCTCTCCCTCTCTCTGTGTCTCTCACTCTCTGCTTTTCTCTCTCTATCACTCTCTGTATCTCTCTCTCTCTCTCTCCTTCTGTGTTTCCCCCTCTCTCTGTGTGTGTGTGTCTCTCACTCTCTCTGCTTTTCTCTCTCTATCACTCTCTCTCTATCTCCCTCTGTGTCTCTCACTCTCTCTGCTTTTCTCTCTCTATCACTCTCTGTATCTCTCTCTCTGTATCTCTCCCTCTGTGTTTCTCTCTCACTCTCTCTGCTTTTCTCTCTCTATCACTCTCTCTCTCTCTCCCTCTGTGTTTCCTTCTCTCTCTCCCTCTCTCTGTGTCTCTCACTCTCTGCTTTTCTCTCTCTATCTCTCTGTATCTCTCTCTCTCCTTCTGTGTTTCCCCCTCTCTCTCTCTGTGTGTGTCTCTCGCTCTCTCTGCTTTTCTCTCTCTATCACTCTCTCTCTATCTCCCTCTGTGTCTCTCACTCTCTCTGCTTTTCTCTATCACCTCTCTATCACTCTCTCTCTGTATCTCTCTCCCTCTGTGTTTCTCTCTCACTCTCTCTGCTTTTCTCTCTCTATCACTCTCTCTCTCTATCACTCTCTCTCTGTATCTCTCTCCCTCTGTGTTTCCCTCTCTCTCTCTCTCTCTCTCCCTGTGACCCGCTGCTGACCTGAGGCAGTGTTTCCGGGTGAGCCGGGCGGGGCGGGGCTGGGCCAGGCCGGGCGGGGCGGGGCTGGGCCAGGCCGGGCGGGGCGGGGCTGGGCCAGGCCGGGCGGGCGGGCGGGCGGGCGGGTCGGGGTCGGGCTGTCATGGAGCTGAGGTGCTGGGGCGGGGACTGGGGTTTGCCCTCCATCCACCCTGACTGCCTGGCAGTGCTGGTAATGTTCATCCTCCACACTCAGGGGCGAGAGTTAAAAGGGAAAAGCGCTGAGAGGCCGCGGCCTAATCCCGGGGCGGCATAGTGACGAGGAGGGGAGGCCTCAGTCAGTGTGAGAGCAGAGAGAGCAGAGCCTGACCGCCACTGCCTGACCGTCACTGTCTGTGACTCACTGTCTGTCACTGTCTGTCACTGTCTCTCTGTCACTGTCTGTGACTCACTGTCTGTGACTATCTGACCGTCACTGCCTGTCTGTCACTGTCTGACCGTCACTGTCTGTGACTCACTGTCTGTCTGTCACTGTCTGTCTGTCACTGCCTGTCTGTCACTGTCTGTCTGTCTGTCTGTCTGTCACTGTCTGTCACTGCCTGACTGTGACTGACTGTCTGTCTCTGTCTGTCTGTGACTGTCTGTCAGTCTCAGTGACTGTCAAACTCACTTGTTCCATCTGTCACATCTATCTACTCTGTCTGTCAATCTGACTGACTGACTGATTGCCTCTGACTCACTTTGTGTCTAACTGACTGTCTGTCTGATTGTATCTATTTGACTGTATCTGACTGACTGTCTGTCTGACTGTCAGTCTATTTTACTGATTGTCCGTCAGTTCTGTCTATTCTCTTCCCTCTCCTCCCCGTCCTCCACCCCTCCTGATCCCAACCACCAGCTCAGGTGTGGATCCCTGACTTGGGACGTCCTCCTGACGTGAAAGGCGCTATACAAGTGTAATTTGTTGTTCTTCTTATGTTCTTATGACTGTCTGTGTGACTGTCTGTCTGTCGAACTGGCTGTCTGTCAGTCTGACTGTATGACTGTCTTGTCTGTCAAGGTCAACATCACGACAACCTGAGAGAGTGAGTGAGGCCGAGGAACAGAGAGGAATTAATAGTAAAAGTGTGAGAGACTGAGTAACAGACAGAGGGAGTAAGAGACAGAGAGAGGGAGAGGAAGTGAAAGACACAGAGAGAGTGGAACAGACAGAAAGAGGGAGAGTGTGAGTGAGAGGTAGAGTGAATGAAAGAGTACACCAATAACAACAAATTGCATTCATAGAGCGCCTTTCATGTCAGGACAACATCCCAAGACACTGGACAATGAGGGGTTTGCACCCGAGCTGTGGGTTGGAATTAACAGAGTAACAGGAAGAGGGAGTGACAGAAAGAACGTTAAGAGTGAGAGACAGACGAAGAGGGAAAGAGTAAGAGGGAGGGAGACAAGGTGAGAGAGTGAGCATGCAAGACAGAGACGGTAACTGTGAAAGAGAGCGAGTGAGACAGACGGTGAGAGTGCAAGTGTGATCTCTCCTGTAGCTGTAATTCTTTAAGCCTTAACAAGTGATATCCTTGAAACACACTCTGCCCTGTTTTGTCTTCATAATGTACTGTACACAGATAGACTGAGGGGGATTCAGATAAACGTTTTGACTCCATCTCTAGTCAAAAGATTAAAAAACTGGTTGTAGCTGTTGGTTTCTATAACTGATTGATCTTATTTTTGTTCCAGTTATATCAGTGAAATAACACATGTTGTGTTGGAGCCTTGGTCAGACCCCAATCTGGAGTACTGCGTTCAGTTTTGGGCATTGCACCTCAGGAAGGATATATTGACTCTGCAGATTCACCAGAATGATACCAAGGCTAAAAGGGTTAAATTATGAGGACAGATTGCATAAACTTTGTCTCTATTCCTTTGAGTTTAGAAGGTTTAGGGGTAATCTAATTGAGATTTTTAAATAATAAAGGGATTCGAGACTAGATATAGAGAAACTATTTCCTCTGGTAGGGGAAGCCAGAACAAGGACATAATATAAAATTAGACCTAGGCTATTTAAGAGTGAAATCAGGAGTCAGTTTTTCACCCAAAGGGTAGTGGAAATCTGAAACTCCCCCCCCCAAAAGGCTATGGATGCTGGATCCGTTCATATTTTCAAGACTGAGGTGGATAGATATTTGTTAGATAAGGGTATCAAGGGATATGGGGCAAGGCCGGGTCATTGGACTTGAGGTACAGATCAGACATGATCTTATAGAATGGCTGAACAGCTTCGAGGGGCTGAATGGCCTACTCCTGTTCCTATGTTCCTATATTATATTCCTATTGATTGGAGTGTTACAATGCATTGACCTGGAAAATTGTTTACATGCTGCTGAAACAGCTCAAGGCTCGCTCTACATTTTATGACCTTATCCAAACACCCACGTGGTTTGGTGCCCTAAAGTGTACTCCAGCCTGTTTTCTGTTAATACTGTATAAGCAGGTGAATTTATGGATAGGTTCATTGCAGGCTTGTTTATTTCATTGTGGTGCAGGGGACAGGGTTTATCAGTCTCTGTGGTCGAATTAAATGAATTTAGATTGAAATTCTGAATTATATACAGTAATGTAAACTCTGGTGATTTCTGGCCTTATTTCACTGCATTTCACTGCCTGTAAATAGAAACGGAATACAAGGGCAATAACCAGTGCATGGCTCGGGAATCTCACAGTGTAAAGCTGCTGTAATTTCTCACTTGGGTCAAATTCCAATGGCTGGTGTAGGGAATAGTCCAGTGGGAGCTTCTTTTTTTTATGAGTTTGGGGTAGATTACGAAAAGCTTTTCTGTGCATCTCGCCTGTGCTGTAGCTGTTTTAGGAATGATTGATGATTGGAGGCAGCTGCAATAAATGGGGAAGGGTTTCATTCCCCAGCGCTGATGTACCATGTTGAGGACAATAATAACCCCTGAACAAAATAGAAATAGAAATTTTCCCGTATGTAATGTGCATCTACATCTTTCTTCACTGCAGGCATATGGCAAATTCTCACGGGCTCCACTGAAAGTGCACTATGTTAATAATCCATGGAAATCACCCACAGGTAACTATTTAATGTGTTTCTCTGGTGTTCTGTTTAAATGCTAATGCATCTTACCTGGACTCTTTATTTTAGCCAGAGTACTGAAAGGCCTCCAAAATCATACACCTACTTCTTCAGTAGTTGCGAAAATGATTTATTAAATTTATAATTAAATTAGCTACGGTGAATTAGAGAAACGTGCAGAAACATGAAATCATTTGGGGCATTTTTGTTTTCAGTCATTAATGTCAAAAATTTGGTCACTCAATTTACGACTGTTTGTGTGAGACTACAGTGTGCAACTGGCTGCCGTGTTTTGCCCTCAGTCAATCCTTTGAAGGGCTATGAGACATCTCAACAACATGATAAGGCACTATACCAAATGCAACGATTGTTATTCTTCGTAGTATTAATGGAACGTTTTGAGGATATTCAAAATTTTGTCTGTTGATTTCATTTAGCATTTGCTTAATGTGTGTCTTTTTGGTTGAGATTATAGTGCATACATAGAAGAAGGAACTGGTTTCTGTGCGGAATTGTTTAAATATGCAAGGCTGTACACAGTAGAATATAGTTACATACAGCTGTTTGTGTGTTAGTTATTCCATGTGATCTACTGAGAGAGTCGAAAGTACAAGTGTATGTGATAAAGGATTTGCCCCAATGCTCCATTAAGTGGTGTGTACGGGGGTGTTTTATTATAATTGTAATTCAATATCAGATTTGATCCTACACTACTGTACATCATATCCCATCTATACTAATGTAGATTATACCCTATACAATAGATTAAACCCTATGATGTACCATTCTAGATTATATTTTACATTGTAGATAATAGCCCACACTCCTCTAGATTATATCCTACACTACTCTAGATTATAACTAGATTATCGCCTAACCTACTTTCGATCATACTTTACTATACCCCAAATAATTAAGAATGTGCAGTAGTGTATTCATACTTGTGAAGTATCATTTGAGTCTAGAACATATGAAGCTGCATTCTCTCTGAAATAGTTGGCCTACAATGAGGCTTTTAAATGCTGCTGTTCCCTTGAGGAATCCGGTTTTACCAATAAGATATTGGGACGTGGGCTATAATGTTAGCAACTTTTTCTGTTTTCAGGAAATCTACCAGTGTTGATTTCAGAAGATACACACGTGGTGAAACCCGATAACATTCTGAATTTCTTGAGGAAACGGGTATGTTGACCATTGTAAAATACTTTGATTTTTAGTTTATATCGGAGAGTTAGAAAATTTGTAACCAGCAAAGCAGAGCCACTTGGTGAGAAGGTTAAAACAACACAATGATTTTTTNCCAGTGGGGCATATAAGAGAAGAAAGGAGACACACTCTCTGTTCTTTTCTTTTCACCTGTTTCTTTATCCTTTTCTTTCATAACTGCTTGGGGAATCATACAGACAGCTGATTGCACAAGTGCTGAGTTGCTGGGACTGTGGAGGAAGGAAACCAAGTTTGAAAAGAGATATTTGGATATGTATTTACAGGCAATCCTACTGTAGTGTCCTGACAAGAGGTGAGGGGTCATGGTATGGCTGTAGGGGAGAGGTGGTGGCTATAGGGGAGCGGTTTCTTTGAAGCAAGACTGGTGCCAGCTGTCAGGAAATGATACCGACAAGGAAGGGTATAGAGAGGGAGCAGCACTGGCTTTAACACTTGAATTGTTTCACATTCTGGCAAAAGCATCACTTAGGGAAGGCAATATACAAAAGACAAAATGTATTCTTCAGAAGCTCATTATTTCCTTCAATTTGATGATTAAAATCTTTGATTTGACAGAAATACAATGCAGACTATGATCTAACAGCCAAAGAGGGAGCCGACACTCTGGCGTTTATTGCGCTACTGGAGGAGAAGCTTCGTCCAGCTTTGGTAAAGGTTTTAAGCAATTTGTTTCTCTTGGCATTGGTCAATTAAATATGCGCTCTTCCTATCGAAACCTCAGTTGAATTGTTATTCTTGAATGAATGAATTAAGAACTAATGAATTAATCTTAAGAACTTATAAGTTATTCATGCTGCTTGGCCTCTTGTGTGTGTGTGAATAAGTTTTCTGCTTTTGTAACTCGATTGGCATTGACTGTCTGACTGTGCCAACTCCTCTGTGACTCAGCCTGTAATACAGTGTTTTTATAAAATTAGTGGAGAAACCAAAAATCTCCAACCTCCATACATTGTAGAAATGTTTACTTCCAAGTTCTCATTTTTAAAAAAAAGATTAAAAGCTTTTGAATTGTTTTCCAAAGTGAAGCATTTTTCACCCACTAAGTATGTGGAGTCCTGTAGCTCAGTGGTTAGAGCACTCGCTTTGCAAGCGAGAGACCTGAGTTCAATTCCAGGCAGGGCGAAACCTTGGGCAAGTTTCCTTACTCCACACAGAGCCTAATAATAATCCCTCCAAAAAAAAACAATAATAAATTGGTCATTTTCAATCTACGACTGTTTGTGGGACATTGCTGTGCGCAATTCACTTTACAGTGTGTTCTGTGAAGTGCTTTGGGACGTCCTCCCGAAGTGAAAAGCGCTATATCAAATGCAAGGATTATTATTATTATTATTATTGCTGTGTGCAATTGGCTGCCGCGTTCGCCCACAAATATACAGTCAATTCACTTTACAGTGTGTTCTGTGAAGCGCTTTGGGACGTCCTCCCGACGTGAAAAGCGCTATATCAAAATGCAAGGATTATTATTATTATTATTATCTGGTGAGGTTAAATGCAGAAATGATCATGGTTTGTTTATCCATGTACGGATGGGTGAACGGGGTTTAATGACATTTCTGTACAGCTGCACACATTCTGGGTGGACGTCGAGAATTACTGCAACCTGACCAGACCATGGTTTGCTGCAAGAATCCCCTTCCCATTGAACTTGTATTTACCAGGGCAGATGTCCCGATCTGCATTAAACCACATTGTTCTAACGAAAGGAGAGCCGCCAATCTACAGCATCAAGGAAGTAGAAGGACAGGTAGGTGATGGAGCTTTTCTGGTGATCTATCATTTTGAGATGCATGTCCTCAGGGCAAGAAGATGACAATGATATTTCACAATGATTCAGTGCTTTATTTTTGACACTTGTGTGAAAATGGTGCCCTATGGTTGGAAAAATTGGAAAAATCTTAAATTCAGTCTTAATTTAGAAAGATTTTATTCAAATAATAATTGTGGAAACCCAGTTTACAAATTTAAGATTTTCCCTAAAATTTCTGCTCAGACATAGATTTAAGACAGTGTTTACAGTCTCTAGAATTTTACTGTGGATTATGACCAATTCTCCTCGCGTGTCGAGTGAGTGTAGAATAATGTGTGCAGCACTGGTCTGGTTTTACAATAAAACATACTTCAGTATTCCAGTCTGAATTAACTGGCTTAATTCTGTTTTTGTGGTTCATTTCAACAGCTTTACAGAGATGCAAAGGAGTGTCTCAACCTTCTTTCGTACAGATTGGGAACATCGGAGTATTTCTTTGGGAAAATGTAGGTGTTTGTGGCAACCAGTGAGATTGAAAGGATATATATTTAAAGAAGGTCAAATGTAGAAAAGTGGTGGTGGACTGTTCTTTAAAGACCTTTGGAAAAACATTTTTAAAAGACAGATCTGTGTTGTTTTTGAAGATGTTTTCCTTTGATCTAGTCAGTATTTTCACCCATGAAATCTGGCAGATAATGTTAGAATTGTTTTCGAGCTATGATTTTTAAAAAATAATTTTACTGCATTGTCTCATTTATTTTAGGCCCACGAGTCTCGATGCCTTTGTGTTCGGACTTCTTGCTCCTTTGTACAAAGCGAAGCTGCCTAGTGCTCACTTCCAGAACCACTTGACTCAGCTCCAGAATCTGTGCCACTTCTGTGACAACATCTTGATGCAGTATTTTACACAAAACTCAGCAGGTGAGTAAGTGGTGAAATGGTGGGTGAAATGTGGCACACATCTTTCTCAGCTCATCCAGGGCCTTTGCAGAATTCCTATTAAAATACAATGACATTCTACTATATGCACTAAAGCAGATAGAGTACAAACAAAAATGGGTATGCATCAGGAATGGGTATAACTTCACTTCATCTAGAAAAGAAAATATATCAACTATATCTTTACGTTTGAATTACATATCTAGGTTTTAGTGTTAATGGTATTAAGATTCATTGTAAGCCAGTATTTTATTCACAGTGCCTTCGGTCATCCTCCCACCCACACACCCCTTGCCCTCCAACCCTCTGGGATCCAACCCCCAGCTTGGGTGCAAACCCTTGACTATCCAGTGCTTTGGAACATCCTCCCAATGGGAAAGATGCTATACAAATGCAATTTGTTGTTGTTGTTATTGACTGAATAATTTACTAATTTGATTAATATATCAGTGATGGGGTATAGAGTTCTCAGAGTCTTTTGCAGCGGTTATATTACAAACAATGTAGGGCAGCTGCTGAGGTTGTGTCCTACAGTATATTTGGTGAAACGCTGTGGGACGTCGAGAAGACGTGAAAAGCGCTATATCAAATGCAAGGATTATTATTATTATTTACTCTGTGGAGCAGAATCCACAGAAAGAAACGTATAATAATAATTCTTGCATTTGATATAGCGCCTTATCACGTCTTCAAGACGGCTTAACACTTCACAGAACTTCATATACTGTAAAGTGAATTGACTGTATATTTTGTGGGCGAAATGCGGCAGCCAATTGCGCACAGCAGTGTCCCACAAACAGTCATGGATTGAGTGACCAATTTTTTTAAAGGAAATATTACCCACGGAAAAGCGATCCGCCAATCGACTAACAACCGGGTTCCTACTTACTGCTAGGTAAACAGAGGTGTGTGGAGTAAGGAAACTAGCCCAACGTTTCGCCCTGCCGGGAATCGAACCCAGGTCGCTCGCTTGCGAGGTGAGTGCTCTAACCACTGAGCTACAGGACTCCACGGAAACAGAAACAATTGCCCTTTCGCAAACTGAAGACAGTTGTTTTCCAACCACGCCTGGTCACAAGCAGACCTGCAGTGATCTTTGTAGAAACTCGGTATAGTGCATTGGTGCAAGAATCGCGTCGATGTAATGTGAGCTCATGTTCAGCCAGCAACTCCTTCCCCTCCCTCAGGCTGCCCAGGGGGCCAAGCTGCAGCAGCATAGTTTACCTACTGGAGCCAAATTGCCAAATTGCGGACTTGTTGGAATGAGACTCTCCTAATTTCTCCTGCAGGGCTGTCACCAGCTGCCTGCGATATAAATGAGCTGTTAATCTATATCTTCCATTGAAGTGACCAAACGTCCTGCATGGATTTGTTTTGATAGTCACTTGATCAGTTTCTTTGAAAGCAGAGTAAAGTTCTATTTGACTGTCAGTGACAGAAGATATATATATGTCCATTAACATTTTAAAGGCTATCCCTTCAAGCAAAATCAACTCTTTGGATTCAGATTTCTTTTGAAGGTCTCTAATGTTACGTTTATAGTCAAGCCCCCAAGCAGTAACCTGGGCTCTATCTTCTAAATTGGTACCTTCTGTTGCTTTGAGCTATTCTGTGCTATTCCTACAAGAAGGGAATATCTCTAAGAAATGGATGTCTGTGTTATTGTACCTCCATCCCTCCAACCCACTGATTATTTCAGATACCAACACATTTCCATCTAGAAATAGCTACCAGAGATTAAAAGCGCTTAGTGATCTAATCAACCCTTTATTTTGTTGAATAGAGTACTGCAGAACAGACACCGGCATATTTTTTGACACCAGCTCAACTTATCTTCCGCCAATGAAGCCACAGTGAATACCCATTGTCTATACACTATGCTAATCTACTCTGATGTATTGCTGATGTACACTGAAAAATACAACGGAAAAATATATTGAAATTGAAGAATAGCTATTCCGAGAGAAAGGCTCCACAGGTCTGGATACATAACTCACAAGCCTCCTCATTCTCCTAGGGAAAATAGCACATTTGAATACGAGCATGCATCTAGGTATTTGGCATTTGCTCCTGAAAATAGAACCCACTGTTTTTCAGATGATGCAATGGTCCTACAGAGACAGAAATGCATAGGACATTGCAGCGATCACGAGAGTGCAATGTAGATTTACTAGGATATTTCCAAGGATGCGTGGATATAGCTATCAAGAAAGATTGGACATGTTAGAGCTTTTCTTTTTGGTGATGGGACGATTGAAAGGGAAGCTAATGGAGGTTTTTAAAATTGTGAAAAGGATTCATCATGTGGACGTTAATATGCTGTTTCGACTTGTTAGTGACTTCAAAATAAAGGGGGGAAAATATAAGATAGGCACTGGAGGAACTAAAGGGAGTTTAGGAGGAATGTCTTCATCAGAGGGTGGTAAGAATGTGGAAGTTGTGGTTGAAGCAGGAAGTATCAATGTATTTAAGAGGAAACATGTTGTGTACATCATAGAGAAGGGTACAGGAGAGGTTATTAGGGGGGCTGGAGGCTCACGTGGAACATTAACATTGACATAGACTGGTTGGGGTGAATGGCTTGTTTTCAAATTGACTTGATTTCTTGGTCAGCCGGGTATCCGGCACATATGGTAGAAGATGGTCCAAACCAAACTATTGGGAGTTTCATATATGTATCTTCTTTCATTTGTCTACTATGGAATGAGCACTTTCCCCAGAGAGATGGATCCTCCCCAGAGAGACTGATGCTGCTTACCGAATCCCAGCAAATTTAGGTTGGCAACAGCCAAGGCTTGGTTCACAGCCCAGATCAGACTGCTTTGGGAATCAACTGGAATTTAAGAAGCTAAAACTGCACAGGGACGAATTCAGCCTCCCTCCCAGTGCACCCATTGAACCAGCCTGGATGATCTATGATTAAAGAGTGCCTTGCAGCACCGTGGACTTGCCTGGCTCAGATCAGACTGCCGCGACTGACAGAGGATGGACACAATTCTGATTTTCCATTGCTAGCTGCCTCCTTGGAAGAAACTCAGTACCAAGGAGTTGCCGCTTACTTCCCCAAGGAGGAAAATAGATATTGAGTATACAGTATAGTTCGATCTTTAATGTGAAGTGTAGTGTGATTTCATATTTCATTTAACAAACAGGGATCTCTCTTAGCACAGCTTGCAGTAGCCAGGAATGATGAGATTCGCAAGCGATGCTTCTTCTCCACACTCCAATCTCTGAGTGTGTAGCTACTATTCCCTCTGTCTCACTGTTGCTGAAATACTCTCTTCTTTCTTTTATTTTTCTTTACTGCTGCTGGCTTTCCAGACTCATCAGCATCTGGGTATGATATGGTGGATGCCAACCTCCAGAAGCTGACGCAGCTTGTAAACAAGGAATCCAAACTGATTGAAAAGGTTGATTCTTTCATTCGTTTTTTCAATCGAACTGATTCTTAGTTTATATGTTGTGCATGTCTTTCTAAAATGCTTCACTGTGCTTACTCCACAATGTCAGGTAAAATCTGTGCCTTATTTTTAGAAAAAATGCTGTCTAAAATAATTATACAATGCAACACAAAATTAAATTTATATAGCAATTTCACAAAGGCAGGACATGTTATGGTGCTGGACTGTCCAGGGTTTGCAAGCAAGCTCCAGTGAGTGGGTATAGAAAGGCTGAAAGCCCGACTGCCAATGATGGAGCAGGGAGGGTGAAGCAGGGAAGGTGAAGCAGGCTGGTGTCCTCTGAGCAGAGGGAAAGACCAGGCTGGAAGGGGAAGACCAAGAATAGTTTACTTGCAACACAGAGGACATAATGTCATTGGTGATCCGATGACCTGGAAGTGGTTCTGTGATCAATAGTATCACAATGAGGAAGGTTTGGTCACTGATTTGTACCCCATTATAAGACTGGTTGGGATTTTTATGGACCCTCACCTACTGTGTTACAACAGGGCATTACTGTATTTCAGAGTTTTAAGTGTTAACCGCTATTTGTGCAAATCACTTTGGAATAAATTCCATCGTTGAGGGGAGAACTGATAAAGGTCTTTAAAATCATGAGGGGTTTTGATAGAGTTGATGAGGAGAAATTATTTCCACTGGTCGGTGAGTCAATGATGAGACGGTATAGATTTAAGATTATTACCAAGGGAGGAGATCAGAGGGATTTTTTTTCAACACAGTTGTTAGAATGTGGAGTGCCCTGCCAAGAGTGATAGTCGAGGCAGGATCCATGTTAGCCTTCAAGAAGGAACTATACAGATATCTAAAAATAAATAATTTGAGGGAGTATGGGGCTAAATGGATTGCCCTTTTATAGAGCCGGCATGGATACGATGGGCCAAATAGACTTGTTCTGTGCTGTAACATTCTGTAGTTCTAAATTGTCTTGTTGGTGCCTTGCAAGATATTGTGGTATTTAAATTATTTAAATTGGCTTCAGGCTTTAATATTCCCCCATGAAAGTATGGGGGGGAATGGGGTTGCAAAAGCGCTTGAGAGCATTGTTTTCATAGGTCAGGTTGACATTCATGGGGGCAGCTGCTCAAGATTCATTTTATTGTTCCAGCACTTGGGTCATTTCAAGTATCAGCTTGGATCAGTTTGTTGTATTCTTGCCTTTAGGTCAGAAGGTTGTGAGTTCAATTCCCATTTAAGGGACTCATATTCCAGGCTGATACTCCAGTGCAGGGTTAGGGGAACACTATGTCGTTCGAAGTACCTTTGTTCGAAGTATCTTTTGCATGAAATGTTAAACTGAGGCCCTTGTCAGCCTTTTCAGGCTCTTAAAGAGCCCATGGAACTAATTGAAAAGAAAAGGGAGTTTCTCCCTGGCCAACATTCCTCTAGTTAATTATTCATTTATCTTCTGACTGTTTATGGGCCTTAAATACACAATTACTACATGTTAGAGAATATACTGAAACGTTTTGAGAAATTGTGACATGATAAGTCACTATATCAAGTGCAAGTACTATTATCATTTACACTGCAGTTTCCTGATGAGTGCTTTTTCATCCAATTGTTATACTGCAGAAGATCTTTAACAATACACAGATATGGTAAAGTATATTGCCTCCCTCACCTCGTCTCAGTCTCACATATAAAAGTTCTGGTATGCGTTGTGTCTTGAGGGATGTAGGCAAAAAGCTATTGTAGATGTGGAAATATAATCAATGTTTTTTACTGCAGATGGACGACAATCTTCGGAACAGTCCGCAACACAAGTCTCGGGGAGAAGTAACCTCTAAAATGACTCCAGCCAGCAATGATGTTGGCTCATCTCAGCTTTGGTCACCCTGACTACTTTTTATTGCCCAAGTAATAACAATTCTTGCATTTAAGAGAAATCCAGCATAAGTACAGGTGTAATCGTAGGACTTGTAGAAATGGAAGATAAAGTTTGTTCACATATCAGATGTCCTGCACTGAACACATCAGAGCGATATTGGACAACTCCATTTAAACCATGGGACTCAAAAATCTTATCAATTCTGATTTGACAGCATTTGGAATGAAATAAACTGCGCTTCTCTAATTACAACCCTTCAGCCACTATTTCTATTTAGAAAGAAGCATTTAAGTTTTGACATGTCTTAGGCAAAGCAATTTGTGAAGACAGCACTGATTTTTCAGTGCTGGATTGATCTAGTTCACATTTAATAATGCAGTGGAATTGGGCAGGAATTGGTGTTTGGTTGGGTCCCAGTTATTCAGAAAATATTGTAAATGTTTTAGATAGATAGGAGGTAAAGAATGCTGACAGTTACTGTTATAATGGCTGGGGCAGCTGTCTATCTGAATGCTGGGGCAGCTGAATCGAGAGGTCTGGAATCTTAACACTAGCCATTCTCAGTTTCCTTTAAAAATGGCATTGTTATTACTTCACTCTAATGTGCGTGTGCTGTCCATTTTCAGCCGGTTCTATGGCAAAATACCAGGCTCTGCTTATTTGCTCATATTTTTACCAGCTTATTTGAGCTTATTATAAAATTGTACCTCAAATAATACGTTACAAAAGATTGTTAAGCATCAATCAATGCATTGCAGACTCCACTGTTTTAGTGGGTTCTCTTAGTACAGAATAGCTAAGTACTGTAAATAATGTCATGATAATATTTTCATACAGTTCCAAGGCTCACTAATAAAGTATCAAAATATATTCAAACATTTCAAATGCACAGTTAAAAGCAGCATAGGTTGGAGGAAAAGGGGATTTTGGAATCTCACAATTGTTCTGCTGCATGAATGTACAATTTTTTTAAACTAACAAGCGTGCATGAAAAATAAATGGACTAGTTATACACTGTTAAATTCAGCTTGGAAGTTGATATAAATTGCAATTTCCTTAATATGAATATTGTATCTCTGTTACATTAAGTTCATTATGATGGACGTCATCAGTGTAATACAGTGCAAGACGGATGAGAATTTGTATTGGATTATTTTTTGATTGATTTCCCAGTCAATCAGAAAAGATTGTAAATTGTTTAAATGTATTTTGAACCATTATGAAAAGGAATTAATTCTTGATTTAAGTGCTAGGTTTTAATTTGAATTATTACAAAACAAGACCTATAATCACTGTGGCCTTAATGGTTATTAAGATCCCATAACCCTATACAAAATATGGTTCACTCTTTGAATTTTTTTACTGTTTAGTAAAATACGTTACATCTATGACCAAAAATAATCCAGGTGCAAAAGGAAAATCCCCAAACCGTAACATTTACTAAGATCTTTCATTCAGAAATATTCTTAGCAGATTTGCCCATGTTTAAAATACTGTTAAGAAACCTTGAAATGCAGTTTCCCATGCCCATGTTTAAAATTCTCTGACTTTAAGGAACCTTGAAATCTGCAATGTATTATGAACAATCAAGTGGCCACTAATACCGAGTTGAATGAAAAATTATATTTCATCTGAAATGCTTGTGACCACGCTAGTGATTGAAGTTTTCCTTAAGCGTGTGTGTCCCTGAAAACTGTTGAAACCTTTTTTTTTAAAAATGTAGTTGTGAATGTAAACATTAAGAATTTGTGAGGGCATTAAAAACTTCCAAACTGGATTGAGAATAGCTGTATTAATAAGTTACTTAATAATTGCAATTTGTCATCATTAGACTTAAACTTTACAACTTCTATTCAGTGAATGATTTTTTACTGACTAAATTCAGTCACTTAACTGATGGAGTCAATCTGGCTTATCATTAGTAGTCCTATGTTTGACTTCAGTAAGGTCAGGCGGGTTTTATTTGGTACACGTTAAAGGGAGAACAGTTGTATTTCTTATTCAGTGTGTAATATACGGCTGATTTCTGTCATGCTAATTTATTTGAGCTCAGCATTTCAGATAACATTACTCTGCACTTTATCGGTTATCTCGTCTCTGGTGGCCTGATTGTGAACAGGCTACATATTTAAGTTTGTTGCACAATTCTCAAATTGGATTCTCTTCAGGGGAAGCTCTCTTCAATGACTTAAATGAATTTGAACACCTTCATGTTTTCAAAATGTTCAAGCTGCTCTATTTATCTGATTCAAAATATGTCTCGTAATTCCACTGTTTTATATAACTTTGTATAATCTTTAGAATGAATGTAGCAGTGGAAGCCCATGTATCTGAATAGCAGTTTGGTTTACAATTAGGAGCATTATTTTAGTGTAATGACATTTATTTTCAAGAGAATTATCTGATTGTAGTTAGATATACAATATCACAAAATCTTGAATTTTCCTTAACTGAATGAAAAAAAATCTACTTGGCTGTTAGCTGCTTCTGTAGACTTAGCAAAATAAATATAATCTCCTTGAGAATGCAGTAGCGTGCCTGCACCAAAATAACACATTTTGTAAACTTATTTCTTCAAGAAGTGCAAATTTGCAAATGCTCTGTACATTTCTACAATTTTATTTCACAAGGTGCATCCTGACAAATATTTTTTTGCAGCTGTCAACAAGTAGATATTTTGAAGCTGCAAAAGTCACTTGGGAAGTTATTCTCCTCTTATCAACTTTTGGCTGTGTGCACTTAGAATGGGAAATGCTTTTTGTGTAACACACACTGGCAAAGGCTAGTAAATATAGTGTACTTGCAAACAGAGAACGTGCACTCTCAGCTAAAGTCTGATCACTGGAGAATTAACTGCCTTCAGTCCTCAAGTGCACATCAGGCATAATCACAGTGGTACTTTGTAACCTCCATCAAGTGATGTGACAGGCAGTGCACACTGGTTATATTTTCAGCGATGAAGAGACCATGTATGAAAGTGTTACGAGATCATGTATGAAAGTGTTAAAGAGAGTGAATGCACACTCAGACTTGTAGCTTCACTGAGATCACAGGGCACATCTCACTTGGTAACAGAGTTGGGCCAGTAGTGTCATTGGCAAAACTCCCCTCTCACCTGAGTTGAAGTTAATTGTCCTTTTACTAATTAACAATTGTATTCATGTGATGGAAGGCAATTTATAAAATATTCATCTGAATTAGTTGATTAAATTGATTAAAATTCCATTAAAAGGATTATTTCAATTTCAAACTCTTGATTCATTCTCAATATAGATTTAGAGATTAGATGGGCAGGTGTCCATTTGCGTCTAAGTGCAGCAATTTTGAACGCGTGTGCTCCTAATGCAATATTTCCATTCAAAGCACATGTTGGCAAAGCCACTATTTCACTCGTATATACCCAGTGAGTGAAACATAATTCACTTTTCAGAAGAGATTGTCTCTTGAGTGCAGAGAAGGTCAGAATTGTCTCACTCTGTCGGGCTAATTGATGGCTGCATATTCAGGAGAATGTTCACAGTCTGCAGTCACTGATCATCTGCAGTCACTGACAACCTCAGTAAAAATCAAGGGAAAATATATTTGTGTGCTAGAAATTTAACACATATTTGGGGCAAAATTTGAGCTGGGATAGATAAACAGATTTAAAAAGATTTCTTTAAATAATTTGGTATAGTTACATTGAGGTTAACTGAATATTTTAAAGCTTTCCCTCCATTAGACAAATCTATTCTTTTTGCCATGACATCTTCTCCATTAACCTTCACTTAGAGTGGGGGTTTACAGCAATCATATGAAAGTTTAATTGTCTGGAAATGTATGAAGGGTTAACTACACTAATCCATGCTTACTTTAACAGATAGCAAGTTTGTGACTTTAGTCTTTGACCTCTTTATGCCATGCTGTGTATGAGACTCAGTGGAAAGGTTAGTGCCACAGATGGGATTATGCATTGCGTATAATAGTAACTTGTGTGAAGCACTTTAAGCCATCCTTCTAACATGAAATATTAAATGCAGGGATTATTATCAATTTATATAATACTTTGCATAAATAAATTTGGTATCTTGATTTGGTCTTAATTCCATTCTGTAACAACAATTCTTCATTCAGAATATTCATTGATATTTATCGATTCCCAAAGGAATTACAGTGTTTTGTCTACCATCACTGGACTTGTGGAACAATTACCTCTTTCCAATTGTTTTTATTTGGTTGGGATTTATTTCATACATTCAATTCGGCAGAGATGCTTAGAAAAATAATACAAGATTTATAACAAAAGATGCACAACTTTCAAAAAGTATCTTACAGTCCAAAAGTGCACACTATGGAAAACAAATTTGCCCATTTCAAAGTGCTGACAACTGAGCATCACTGACACTTAGCCTCAACTAGTTAGTTTATTAAGGAATCCTATTAACAAATAAAGCAATTAGACCATGTTTTGAGGACCTCTGACGTGGCAGTAGAAAAACACTTCTCCCAGAATGACCACTACTTTTAAGAGAGAGCAACAGCATCAATAGGATTCTATTGGGAGACAGCACTAACAAGGTATCATTCTGGCTCAACTGGTGACACTCTTGCCTCTAAGTCAGAAGTTTGTGCGTTCATTCAAATAAAATTGATCACAAGACTTCAAACATTGACTATTTTGACACAGACTCTGACTCGAACATTAAAGTACAATTAGCATTTAATTCAGACTTGTGTCACTTTTACATCATGACAACAACAAGAATTAGCACTTACATAGTACCCTTCACCCAGAGTGGCGTCTCAGAGCGCTTAACAATGGCAGAGCCTGACTCTGAGCCGGGGGGTGTTGGTGCCGAAAAAAGGAAGACAGAGAGCAAGGAGGAGGAATTGAGGGAGAGTGTTTCAGAGTTTCGGGGCGTAGTGTCTAAAAGCACGACCTCTGATGGTGGGTCTGAGGGTGCGAGGGACGAACAGGAGGCTGGTGCCATACTTGAGTATTTGACATCATCTGATAAGTACCACAACAACTTGCACTTATATAGCGGCCTCCACGCAGGGTAGCGTCTCAGAGCGCTTAAACATTAAAATAGCATGACTACTAATAATACATTTAATATAGATCTTATGTCAGCGAGATGTCTCAAAGCTCTTTACACTGTAAAATTATGTGACTGTATGTTGTGGTCGAACGATAAGATGTATCATCCACAAAGAATACAGTCAATTCACTTTACAGTATATTCTGTGAAGTGCTTTGAGATGTCTCGAAGACGTGATAAGGCACTTATCACGTGATAAGTGATAGACGTGATAAGGTAAGAAAACGTGATATCAAATGCAAGGATTATTATTATGTGCAAAACATCATTAGAAATTATTTTTGTGATCTCTGACACCAAAATGTGATAGAGGTGGTCAATTATTGTGTCATTCCATAGTTAACTCTGCTCTATCACAATCTAATTTCAGAGCAGAACAGAGGTCTGTAGAGGTCTCCTAACGGTTCCACAATAATTCCCCAGTAGTATATGTTGTCAGGCAGAATCTGACTAGCAGCTGTAAGGCATATAGTATGGAAACAACGAGCAGCCACTATGTTTACAGATGTTTTGCTTCATGCTCTTTGGATAATGTTACAAATCAAATGAATACATTCCTCTTTAAAAATGTGAGCTGAAAGCAGCTGCCCAACAGGATTCAAAACTAGATCGAGCTAATGTTAGCATAAATAACTGAATTTGCTGTTTCTTTGTCTGTGGGAGAATTATTCTCATGTCTGCTGATTCTACACTGATTGTGACTTGGACATGGCTAATTGCCTAAATTTGTGTTGCTGTACTTCAGATGTTAACATGATTATCATCAGGACTTGTGTTTTATGCGGTGCTATTCTGTGAGGTGAAAGGTTAACAAAAGACATGTGTCTTTTCTCCAGAGGCCTGTTCTTAATATTCAGTCCTTTGGTTGCATTCTAAGAAAGAGAACATTTTAAAACATGCAAAAGAGGTGGAAATCATTCAATTGTGGAAGAAGAAATAACAAAAAATAATTTGTGAAAGCAAAACAAATGGAATAAAATCAAAGTCACGCGTTAAAGCTTAAAGCAAAAAAAAGGTGGCAGTCTGGCTTGATAGGTTTCTGCGTCAGAAAATTGTGGGTTCAAGCCCCACATTGAGACTTTAAACTCGTCTTGGCAGACTCCAGTGCAGTGCTGGATGGGGTGGTGGGGAGTCACGAGGCTCTCCTGATTGACTCCCCACCTCAGGCGCTGACAGCGTTACTATCCGTGGATGCACACTCCACCTTACTAAGCCAGTCCTGAACCTTGGCGCCTTGTTTGATCCTCAACTATCCTTTCTACCCTACATCCGTGCCATGACCCGCTCTGCCTTCCCCCACCTCCGTAACATTGCCCGGCTCCGCCGTTGTCTCACACCGCAGTCCGCCGAAACCTTCATACATGTTTTCATTACATCAAGGTTTGACTACGCAAACCCCTTGCTTGTCGGCCTCTCAAACTCCTCCCTCCATAGGCTCCAGCCCGTGTTCTCTCCCGCACCAGGCTCCGTGATCCTGTCACCCCCATCCTTTGCCCAACTCCACTGGCTTCCCATCACACAGAGGATACAGTTCAAGATTCTGGTTCTCACCTTCAAAGCCCTCCATGATCTTGCTCTCTCTACCTCTGCGACCTTCTAATCCCCTACCATCCTGCCCGTTCCCTCTGCTCAGCGGGCTCCGGCCTTCTTCACCTCCCCCTCCTCACTCGCCTCACCATTGGTGGGCGGGCCTTCAGCCACTCTGCCCCCACTCTCTGGAACTCCATCCCGCAATCCCTCCACCTCTTCCTCCCAATGTGAAAGATGCTTTACAAATGTAATTTTGTTGTTGTTGCTTGTTGGAACTGCTGTACTTTGCATTGGATGGTAGACCAAGGTCCCATCTGCTTGGTCAGTTAGACACTAAAGATCCTATGGCACTACTTGAAAAGAAAAGGATTTTTTTCCCAGTGCCCTGGCCAACAATCCCCCAGATAAAATTGGTCATTCACTTCATGGCTGTGTGTGGCATATTGTTGTGTATAAATTGGCTGCCACATTCACTTACAAACATTTTACAGTGTGTGATGCTTTGAGATATGTCCGTTTGTCCCCTCCCCCCTCCCCCCACACACACATGAAAGGCACTATATCAATTTCAAGGATTATTATTATTAATAAAATCCCTGTGAAGTGCTTGGAGTTGTTTTGACGCTGCTGGCGCTCTATCAAATACAGAAATTTTATTATTATAAATAATGGGCAACTAGACGTACATGAAGGCATAGTGCATTGGTCCTCTATAGGGAGGAGGATGTTGGATCATGCTGAAAATTCAGTGCATAAAGTGTATTTATAGGCAAATGTGGCAGCTAATTTGCCCACACTAACGTCCCACCAACACCTAGAAGCTAAATAACCAATTAATTGGAGGATTATTGGCCAGGATACTGGGCCCTTCTCTTTTCGATTAGTGCCATGGGTTCCTTAATGTCCACCTGAACAGGCAGATGGGACTTTGGTTATAATATCTCATCCAAAGGACAGTAGCTGCAACAATGCAGCACTCCCCCAACTCTGCACTGGAATGTCAGCTGAGACCAATGTCAGAGTCCCCAATTTGGGATTTTTTTTGGTCAGTCAGGTATCTGACACTTGCGGAAATCCATCTAAAGTTTAAGAGTATCTAAACCAGATTGAGAGTTCCATTCATGCCACTTGTATTGGAAATGGACACTTGGAATGGAATGTACACTTTCTTCCAGGAGGGCTGCATCCTGTTTGCCTAATTATACCGGGGGTTAGGCACAGGTTGGTAATCCTCAAGGCTTGGGGACTTCATCATGTGCATTGGAGTACAGCTGGAGATTAACCAGCTAGCTTGCCATTAGCTTGCCATTAACAGCAGTGTCTGGTGAGCTTCCTGATGTTTGTCCAGGTAGGATCATCATACCTAGGGTTTTGGCAGCAGGGTTAACAGGAACTGACTGGGAAGAATTCCTATCCCTATTGACTGGTCTGCGGCCCAAGTCCTACCAGCGATAAGCCAAGCTGGCTGGTCTGTCATCAACAGTACTGTGTAGAACTGTCGATCTGCCTGGATCAGGAACCATATTATTTGGATTGCTATAGACGATTCGTTCTGACATTCCTTTGTCAAGAATGTCACCCTGGAGCCAGTTCAGCTAACACTGCGATAGTCACGATGTGACTTGGGACTTGAAATCATACCCTTGTGACCTTGAGGTGAAAGTGCTACCAGCTGAGTGAAGCTGACACTTAAATGGCCTGAGTGCTGGAAAAAAATGCCTTGAAACATGAAGGTCATATCCTGCAGATCCCCCCATGTGCATCAAGACAACCTATGAAAACAATGCTCCAAACCAAAAACACCGGTGATTTTTATGTTCAAACCCTCCAGGGCACTTCCCTACATGAAGGGCATCATATAAATGCAAGCTGTTGTCATTCAAAGTTGCATTCCAAGATGACTCAGCACAAAACGGTTAATCCAGATCCTCATGTTAGGGGCTTTGACAAATAGACATGCCCGGCGTAACGTTGATTCCACTTCCAAGATGTTCAGCAACAGGTCAGTGTAGGCTGGAGCCATCCCTCCCTCCAGCAACTTCCCCAGATTACCACAAATCGACCTTCACAAATGGAAACCCCTTCACTGCTTACCCAGGAGCTCGGAACCATGACTAGGAGAACTATTTGGAAACAGGTTAACCTCCAATGGGACCATGCTGAGAGACCAGAATGATCGCCCCTTCTCAGCAGGGTGCTGCAGGACAGTGTCCAAGCAAACGTTGGCTCAGCATATTTATTTAATATTCATTACATGGTAGATTTGAATTGTGGAAAAATGAAAACATCTGTCCACTGATTTTGAGTTGAACTTCGGCATTTCTAAAGCTGGCGTTGATTGCAGGGTAATCAGTTCTAAATCATTATCATGGAGAAATGTTAACCATAAGCACATTGTAAAGATGCCTCCATCCACCTGACATGGGGTCAATAGAGTTTCTTACAATCCAAACAATAAAA